GATTGCTTCCTGCTGATGCTGCCATGCTAAGGAACTTGCTGGAGGTTTTGTTTTGTATCCTGGGCATCTCATCTACAGCCTTAATTATTCTCTGAAAATTTCTTAATTTCTCTTTCATCTCATCATTATTTGGACTGATTTATGGGGGTCACAGAGCACCTCAGGTCTATATCCTTGAGTTGTTTTGGCAATATTATAACCCTCTTTGTTGAGATACACACAGAGGCTAAGGCTTGGGCTCTCATTCTGGAACTTAAGAACTGTTGGGAATACATAGGATAAGAAACATGCTGGACTAGACAGGCCCTTGTAATCTAGCTCATCAGTTAACAGCCAAATTCACCTTGCAGACTCGACTTCCGAGCAAATGCTAGACCAGGGGCAGGCAATTATTTCAGGCAGAGGCCTGCTTACCGAGTTTTGGCAAGCCATCGAGGGCTGAATGAGTAGTAGCCTGCCTCCTGGTTGCTAGTTTGTGACTGGAAGTTCCGCCCCCTAATCCAGGGGTGGGCAAAATAGAGCCCATGAGCCAATTCAGCCTACCAGGCCATTCTGTCTGGTCCACAGGGCCCCTAAAAAATTTAGAAAATGTATATTTGTCTGCCCCTAGCTGCCTGTCAAAAATGACAGAAGACAGGGGCAGTAGGACCCAGGGGGAGCCGGCAGCCAAACTAAACAGCTGCTGCAGCAAGTCCAGCCTGGCCCAGGTCCTCCCTAGCTCCCCCTCCTGTGGGTCTCCAGAGCCCAGGGGCCAATACCTACATCTGCGCCCCCCCATCCACAGCCGATCGCTGAGCAGGGGGGGACCCCTGGTGGGCAATCACCGAGCTGAGAAATGCTCCTGCTGCCCCACTCTAGGCCCCGGGCACTGGTGTGGACCCACACTCCCACCCGGCTGTCACTGCACTCAGCATGCCTGCTTACTACCCCTTCCCCCCGCCTGCTGCAGCCATTTCCATGCTCCTCTCCTCCCCCCCACCTACTGCACTCCACATCACATGGTTCCCAGCTGCAGCACCACGACTACAGGACCAGCTGAGATGTGCCGGAGCAGCTGGGTGGCGGGGGCTGGCGGAAGATGGTGAAGTGGCAGGAGAAGGGCAGTGGTGGCAGAAGAGTAGTGGTGGCAGACAAGGGGCAAGTGGCAGTGAGCAGGAGCATGGGGCCTGTGCCAGTTCCCTGGATCCAGAGGCCAGGAGCAGCAGAAGCACGGAGCCTGGGGTTGCAGTAGTGTTGACAGGGGCTCTGCCTGCTGGGGTGCGGGGGAAGCAGGCTGTGGGCAAACCCTCCCCCTCCACTCAAGCCACAATCCTCCCCAGCCACCCTCCCCCCACACACTCACAGCCCCCCACAAAACCCACACCCCACACACCCCCACACCTATCCACCCCCCACCACAAAACACACACACACCTTCCCTCACACCCCACATACCTATGCCTACCCTCCCACCCCCACCCTTCCACAATATACAAGAGTAAGATTTCATTTTAAGCTATTATACTATCACATCTATGCACATTACACAAACACATGTAAATCAGGACAAAAAAAAATTGAAATTAAATTAATGAATGTTGTACTACATAATTGATTTTTAGACTATAATTTGGTATTTATCTGGTTCAGAGATGGCAAAACCCCCTACTGAAAGGAGTAATTCTGGGGGGGGGCAAGGGGAGGGACTTCTGGTGGCAAAGGTCAGGGGTTAAGGGGTCCCAAGATTGCAACCAGGGGGTGGCACACCTGTCAAGGGGGGGGGACTACACATGCAGCCCTCAATGGCTTGCCAAAACTCAGTAAGCAGCTCTCCACCCAAAATAATTGCCTGCCTCTGCCGTAACCCCTTACCTTTGCCACCAGAAGTCCTTCCCCTTACCCAAGGAAGCACTCCTTTCAGAAAGGGGTTTTGTCATCTTGGAACCAAAAACATACCAAATTATATTCTAAAAAGCAAACATCTACAATATTCATTAATTGATTTAAAAATATATTTTTGTCTTGGTTTACATGTGTTTGTGTAGTATACATAGAGGTGATTGTATATAATAGCTTAAAATGAAGTCTCACTCTTGTATATGGAGGGGGGGTATAGGTTTGTGGGGGCTGCGGGTGTGTGGGTATGTGGGAGTGTCTGTGGGGAGTGGATAACTGTAGGTGGGTATGGGGTTTGTGGGGGGGCGTGTGGGGAGAGGGTGGCTGGGGTGTGTGAAGGGGTGCAGTGGTGGGGTCTGCATGTATGGCAGTGCAAGGCGGGTATGGGTGTATGTGTCGGGCGATGCTTCCGGGAGCCACGTGGTGCTGAAGCAGTGTGGTGGCAGGAAGGCAGGGAAATGGCTGGGGGTAGGGCGGGGCTGGGCTGCTGCATCTTGCTGCCGGCTCCCCCTGGGTCCTACTGTCCCTGGCTCCTGCCATCTTTGACAGGCAGCCAGGAGCAAATAAATATTAATTTACTAAATTTTTTAGGGGCCCCGCAGGCCAGTTAGAATGTTCTAGTGGGCTGGATGTAGCCTGCAGGCCATATTTTGCCCACTCTTGTGCTCAACAGTAGGCCTGTGCAAAGTGGCTAGTATCCACTTTGGATTTGGCCAATTCAGGGGACAGTGATTCGATTTGGTGATTCGCATCACTGTCCCAAATTGATTTGGCCAATCTGATTCGGATATTCGGCTGCTGCCAAACCTCTGAATCACACAGGCCCATCCCCACTCGCTCTCCCAGCCCTGGCAATGGCTGCCCCACCTGCCCCAGGTCCTGGCACTTTGAAAAAAAAAAGCCCCAACTCACCAGGTGCTGCCAAGCAAGGGGGGAGATCCCTGCTGCTCCCCACTATCCCATACTGTGTGGGGGACTCTGCATGAGCCCCCCAACTCCCCCCACCCTGCTGTCCCAGCCCCCACATGGCTTCCCCATCCGCCCCAGCTCCGGCCCTTTAAGGAAAAAAAAAACAAAACAAAAAAGCTGGACTCACCAGTTTCTGCCCAGTGGGGGGCAATCCCCGCTGCCCCCCACTGCCCTGCATCACATAGGGGGCTCTTCCATGAGCCCCCCTAAGCCCTGAGGCTGCTGCAGGAGCTGGTGAGTTTGGGGGGTTTCTTAAAGGGCCAGAGCTGGGGTGGGCAGGGCAGCCATGGGGGAGCTAGGAGAGCAGGCAGGGGTCAGTGGACTCATGCAGAGTCCCCCACACAGCGGGGGGCAGTGGGGATTGCCCCCGCCACCCAGCAACACCTGGTGAGTAGGGGCTTTTTTTTAAAGCACCAGGAGCTGGGCTGGGCAGGGCAGCCATGGGGAGGCTGGGGGAGCAGGCAGAGGTGGGGGGGCCTGAGGGAGCAGGCAAGGGGTAGGGCTTGTCCCCCATGGTCCCCTCCCCACTTCTCCAGCCTCCCTACCCCCCTTACCAGCTCCGATTCTGACTCCAGCTCTGTGCTGCAGCAGGCGGGGACTGCCCAAATCATTAAAGCTCTCCGAATCTTTTCCGAAGAGTCAGAGAGCTTCAAATCGATTCAGACCTTTTTACTGGTCCCCTGATTCGATTTAGATTCAGAGATTCAGTCGCTGAATCGGGCCGAATTTCCTCCGAATCAAATCAGCAACCAAAGCTTCACACAACTCTACTAGACAGTCTCCATGCATATTCTTAATATGCTTTTAATCAAGAGGGAAAGGTCAGGATGGCATTAGCTGCAAGTGCTGAATTGCACGCCTGGATCAGAACATGGTCTCCAGATTAGCCCCCATGATCAGGAACTATTTTCTTACTTTGAATGATAAAAAAATTCTTGGGTAGTTGTAGCAATAAGCAAGAACTATTCAAGATGCATCCCTCTGCACCACTTCAGCATCCAAGAGGAAATCCCACAAGTTAAAATTTGTAGCCCCATGTTGGAGCATTAATATGAGACATGGGAGATGTAGGTTCGGTTTCTTGCACCATACCAGACTTCCTGTGTAAGCATAGGAAGTCAGTTTGCTTCCTTGTGTGTCAACTTTCAATGTGTAAAATAGAAACAGCAGTAGTTCCCTACCTCAAAAGGACTATTTAGAGACTTTGAGGCTATGGTGATACTGCCAAGTAAGTACTTATGATAGCCCGAGGGGCATTCTCTGATGGAATAAAATGTCACCCTTCATATACAGGTATTTATCGGGCAGTCAGGCAAAACAATCTAATAGGTAACATCTAATCTTAATGTATATGAATTTATATATGGATCATTTGCCTCCAAAAGGTAGTCATGTATGGTGTGAAAAAAATGATTTTATTTATAACAACTGCATAATGGTAGCAATGGTTCAGATTAACGATTTGCACTATTTTATAGCACTGTAGCCACAATAAATCCATTAGCAATTTTTCTGGTTTCCAGTTTCTTAAGCTGTGTATATTATATTTTTATGGACAGGAATAAGAGACCTGGAAGACCTTTTCTGTAGACAAGGTAAGTGTTTCCTAGGACTATGCTGCTGCAATATTTCGTCAGCACAAATCTCACAGCCAGAATTCAGGAATATTACTTGATCTTTTCAGCTCCTTTCCGCTCATCAAGTTTCAGCTTGAAAGTGCAGGGTACCTCATAGAATTTACTTCTTGTTAATTCATATATTTAGCTGACAAAATAAGTCACATTTGTTTTAAATTGGATTTGGAGTTGGTAGAAATTTAACACGCATGCCTCCATTGTGACAACAGTTTAACTAGTATGTGCAAAGAGAAGTAGTACAGTTTTATGCTATACCCCATTTACATGTTTTTGTGCAAGTATATCTATATCTAAAAAAAAAAAAGAGTCCCCTATGATGAAATCCAGGCCCTACTGAAATCAAAGTTTCTGCAATTTGCAAAAGAAAAGGCCCTTGTGGCACAAATGTCCCAAAGTTGGCAGTCTACAAAACTTCTCAGAAGAAAAATGTTTTTTCTCAAGGGGAATCCACCAAAATCAATTTACAATTTAAAATCCCCACTTCCCCCAGGAGCAAGGAACTGCAAAGAGCTGTTATCCAGAGGGAACATCCTGAGTGGCTGGTACACCATCTACCCACATGACTGTAATGCAATGACTGTGCTGTGTGACATGGACACCGATGGTGGAGGATGGATTGTGAGTATTTTGAGAACAGAACAGAACAAACCAGATCACACAGTCCTGCAGGGAAGTGTCCTGTCCCAGAATGAGCTGGCAGCACAGGGGGCATATCTGCAAATGAGCATTGTCAGACACCACGTTACAGAATGAGCTTTGCCCTGTGGGCACTGAAGGACTGTATTTCTTTAAACCTGAATCCAGGCGAATGAACAACTCCTGCTAATTTTTGCAATTAAATCCTGGTTTTCATTAAAGTAGAAAAGCCCCTTTGTTAAATTCTCTGTTTTTAAAGGAACTAATATGTAGAATTCTGAAGTTATGGAGAAAACGTTCAACGTTGTGTGCCCTTGTGACTGAGTTAAATATAACTCTCATTAATAAGGATGAATAATAGTAATGGTTAACAGCCAATAATAATGCAGTAGTGTGCTGCCCCAATCAGAACTGCTACTCTATTACATCAGACACAAAACTAATGAAGAGACAGTCCTATTTCCTTTGTAGTAATATACCCCTGACCACACTGAACTCATCCAGTAGCATATTATTTTGTCAATATTCACCCTGTGCTGAAGTGGTTTGGAACAGTTTAAAAGTGATATATTAGTTGATCAGTAGTTCCCCTGCCCTGTTGAAGCCGGAAAGTTTCCCATGACTCCTTCTCATTTTTCTGCAGGTTTTCCAGAGACGGGCAGATGGTTCTGTGGACTTTTACCGTGATTGGGAATCATACAAGCGAGGTTTTGGGAACCAGCTGACAGAATTCTGGCTGGGGAATGACAATATTCACCTGTTAACATCATTTGGTAAAGAAATCAACAATACTGCTTCTCTAAGTCTACTGCAGGGGGGGGCAAGATGCGGCCTGCCAGGCCATTCTATCCGGCCCGCAGGGGCCCTAAAAAATTTAGAAAATTAATATTTATCTGCCCCTGGCTGCCTGTCACACGGCCCTCAATGGCTTGCCAAAACTCAGTAAGTGGCCCTCCTCCAAAAATAATTGCCCACCCCTGGTCTACTGTGCACTATGAGTCTCCTCGTTACAGGGAGCCGAGATCACTAAAATGCAATTGCTGCTGAAGACACCATTTCCTGTGCTTAGTTTTCACAGCACTAACTGATCAGGAAAAATATAGACGTAAATGGTAATGTAGCCCTGCTACCCTTCTCTGACTTAAAGATCATAAAATAAGAAGTATTCAGCAATTGACATCATCCCCCCCAAACTGATTTATCTAAACCATGGTTCACTGTGACCTGTAAAAACTTTAAAAGTTGAAGTAATGTCACCTTTAGATGACAGCCCAGGATCAACCAGTGAGCTGCTCTGATACTGTAGCATCATTCTCTGAGGTCATTATCTCCTTTAGGTATGCAATGATATAAAAGCCTCTCAGGTCTTACAACCCAGAGAAGATCACAGACCTCAAAATGTCTGACCCAGCCCAGGTCTTAAAATATTATGTGAACCAGTTGTTCAGGGTGCTGTTCATCTTACCGCTAAATATTTTTTTCCTCCTCTTTTCTGCTTCCTTCTTCCTTTCTGCCCTTAGACTTCAGAAGTCTATTCAAATTAATGTGCCATTTCATGGCAGCTCAGTCAGTGGAGCCAAGACAGGCTACATATCCCATTATTGAATCCCTCATGGCACCAACCACAGCCATGGCAAGGACTATGCATTCTTATCTCCTCACTGGGGAAAGATGCTGCAGTGGTATTCACTACTAGTACTGGAAAACTCAGATCTTGTGAAATTTCAATTTCCCAGGGGAAAATTAAAAAAAAGAAAAATGGGAAGGCCTCCTCCCCCACACACACCTGTGAGAAATCCTGGTAAATGCTGAACATGTTTTTAAAGAAGAAGTATGACTTTTGGAGAGAATATAATACTGTCAATTCCTGAATTGTTTTTCAACTCGCAAAATATGGGAAATATAAAGTGCTAGGAGGAAAGAGAAATCTCTCTTTATCCTTTGCTATTTCACAACTGGAAAATTTGGGAGTCAATAAGAAAGAGGTGGAAAGTGGGAAGAATCCATAATTTTGTACTAAAATATATTGGAAAATGAAAAAAAAATATCAACACCCAAATTGTCCCATAAAAAATTACGTTTTCAACAAAATTCTGATTTCCAAAATAAAAAAGCCCTTCATCCTTAATTTGACATCCATCTCAAGAGGTGTGGCAGGTCGCTTCTTAGCTGGTGAAAGTCAACATACTTCTATTAATTTTACTGGAGCTATGGTGGTTTACACCAGCTAACCTAGCCTTGGCTTAGTAAGAACATTTCCAGCTCATACTCAACATGAGGATACCAGGTTTGGAGACTATAGAAGGAGTCGACAGAAGCACTAGTGGAACGTATTTAATATTGTCTCTCCAAATTGTTTCGACTAGGAGAGAACGAACTTCACATAGACCTCAGAGATTTTGACAACAACTATCATTTCGCCAAATACAAATCATTCAAAGTTTTGGGAGAGACTGAGAAATACAAACTGATCCTTGGGGATTTTGTTGGTGGTAACGCAGGTAAGATGCCATGTTCTCTACCTTCCAGAGCAGATGAAAATTCTGCAGAGCCAAAGAAACATTAGAAAACTTTTTGCGGCAAGAGTAAATTGTGTTCTTCACTTCAAGCTGGAGAAGTCCCCATTTGCTCTGCCTTCCTATAAGGGAACCAGGGGTACATTTAACAGATGCAGAATAATATCAAATCCAGCAATAGGTCACAGGCAGCATCATGCCAACTATGATATTGCCCTTGGATGACAAACCTCTTCTTAGTCCATAAGCATTATAATACTCTGTAAAAAGGAGGCAGAAGGAGCAAAACTCCCAAAACTCACTCCTTACATGAGGCCTAATTATGAAGCCTTGCTTATAACTGAGGCCCTTTTTCAGCTGGTTACTTAAGCATTAATAATACCTAACTGGTCTAGTAATTTTCCTTTGGGGATCTTTAAGTACTTTACCATGGAGATCTGAATCCCTGTCCCATTTAACAAATGAGGAAACTGAACAGGAGGGACTTGCCCAAGCAAACAGGGACAGAACCAAGAGTCGAGCTAAGGTCTCCTACTAGGTCCCAGTCTGATGCTCTAGTCACAGGTCCACACATTCTCTCTTTGTGCAATGAAAGGGTGTAGATTTTATTCACCCTCCTCCTTCACAAACCCAGAATGCAATAGCAGTCCATCTCCTGTGTTGCAAAGGGTTCCCAGTTCCTAGTGAAATGAAAAATGGATGAGCAGGATTGACCAGACTCGCAGCACTGAACAATGATAACTTATCCAAAAATAAATACAAACAAGAACTGTTTTTCCACAGGGGATTCACTGAGCAGCCACAAAAACATGGTGTTTACAACCAAAGACCGTGACAATGACCCAGATCCCAACAACTGTGCTGAAATCTTCAAGGGAGCCTGGTGGTACAATAAGTGCCACCTCTCCAACCTGAATGGGCTATACCATAGGGGACCTCATAGCAGCTTTGCAGACGGCGTGAATTGGCAAACAGGCCAGGGATACAAGTACTCCTACAGGCTGTCAGAGATGAAATTCAGGCCTGTATAGCCAAGCAGGAGGGAATCTAGAAGCAAACAGTTAGTTGGAGACATCTAATTAGGTAATTATTTCCCATGTCAAGAAGTAGTCATCTTCATATATGTGCTTTAGTTATCTGTATCCCTTGGACAAAAGGCAAGGTGCATTCTGTTAATTTATGTTAGTCCTTGGTGACTTGGGTCTGTCTTGCTCCACTCTGTATTTTTAAAAAAAAATTTATATAAAAAAAGCAAAACTAAAATAAATCAACAGTACGCATTTCAGAACTAACCAAGAATGAAATGACAGAATGATCACATTGATGTCACAACTAAACACAAAGTAATGAAACAGTAAAACAACAATCCATGTTGTAGCAAGGTTGAAGCATTGTAGCTGTGACCGCCCAGGAAATGTATGCAAGATAAGGATTTTTTGTGCATAGCTGGGAGACCCGTTGGACAAGCTTTGCGGCAATGAAAATGCTCTCCCTTATGACCAAGGAAAGATATCAGGATCAAAGATACCACAAAAAATCCTTGCCTATCATGAAAGAACTTTGATACTGGATTGAATCATCTGTTGGTCAAGTCATTGACATCACCATTACAATGATCACTAATATTTACTTCTTCCTAATACTATACAAAATTCAGGTTTTGCAAGTCATTTAAAAGATGTTTTAATGGCTATGTCAAAAAGTTACACAATAAAAATTCTGGATAAATCTTTTTAACACTTGGAGTCAATCAATGGCAGAATCAGGGCATACATGAAAGAAGTGGCTTTGGTTCCATGACCACAAACTAGCCACATACAGGCACATCCTAACATGATAAGATGTCTCATGTCTGTTCTTATTGCTGAAGGGACAGAGAAGGAAGTGAGAGGCATTTTCTTCATATGCCATTAGTGGATTGAGAACTGTTAGGCCTTCTGCCTCGTCTTGATCCTTATAACAGGTATCTCCTGCTTACTTCACCTTATAGTTCCACTTTTAGGGGCACATAGATAGTCTGTACAATCTACATATAGTCAGTGTGGCTCAGTGCTTGTTAAGCTGGGCAGGCTTTGGCCAGGGGTCACTTAGAAAAGACCCACTCAGGATGTCTGGAAAAAGCTGCTGTTGCCTCCTATCAAAAAATAGGAGTTTCAAAAGTCTCTTAGGAAAAAGCTGTCCCCAACCTTCTGCCTGAATGAGAACAGCAGCAGTATACCAAGCCATCAGCAGTTGCTGTAGGCTTAACCAGTCTCATAAAAATACTAACAGCTTAGCCAGCAAGTTTATCACTTGTTCACATATACACAACCTCTTGCATGCTGTAGACCCACAGGTAGCCCACAATAAGCCATCGCATCCTCACAAAGCAAGGTCATTGGGGAAGTAGCTTTAACCATTTTAAAGGGTCATACTTGTTCCTGGTAGAAGCAAGAAACAAGCCTTCCCACCTTGCTAGCTGAGCACTCGCCCTACACTGAGGGGAAGGCAGGGTAAGCACGAGGAAAGTTACGGAGAGTCATCTTGTAATCCCTTGTCTCCTCAGGCACCAAACACATCATTTCTGTGTCATGTCTAACCTGCAGTGACACGGGGAATGAGAGCCCGTAATCTGCATTCAGAATTAGAGCCCTACCTTTGGATGGCCTCCTGTTGTGATATGGCTAGCGAAGGGACACTGCTCTCTACCGATATCACAGGAGGCACGCTGCCCTGCAATGCTGTCTTGGCAGACATAAGGCCGTGTTACACCTTACACTGTGAGCCACACAAATGTTGATCCGTATTAGTGCTAGCTCGAGTTTGGAGCAGTCACATGTGCAAGCCTGCAGGAGCCTGGAGGACTGAAAGGTAGGAATCCCCCTCACCTCCCATTCTGGGCTTCCCCCATGACCCTTGCCCCCTGCAACCTCTCAGGGCTACCCTGCTCCCCCTGCCCAGGGTGGCAGAAGGTCACCTCTGTCTCTCCCCAAAAGCTCTGCTCTGTGACAATTTGGTTAATATGGGCCCTGCAGAGGGCAGACATCCCATCTCTAGGTAACCTGAGTTGGATACATTCCCGAGGGAGGGGGGAAACCCGCTCCCTCTGCCTACCTGACCGGCATCACATACCTGGGTGAGGGGCTTGGGCTCCCTATTGTTCTAAGCAATGCCTCCCTGCCGGGAGGGGGCTAGAGACCCTGCCAGTCTACCCAGCAACCAGTGATGCATTTCAAATTGTTTGGCTACCAGTCAACAGGTGCTGGCCTCCATTGGACCAGGTAAATGAGGTCATAAGGTCTATATAAGTTAAAGACTGCCCAGGAGGAGGGGCAGTAGCCATGATGAAAAAACAGAGAGAGGCTGGATCATCTGAAATGTGCTCCCTCTTGAAACTCATGATCAATGAACTGCCTGCCTCCAGAGGGAATCTCCACCTGCCTCTGGATGATGCTCGTGGTAAACTACCTGGGATCTAACTAGATATATAGCTTTCAGTAACACAGATGCATGATCAAAGGCTACCCAGCCATACCTGTTTGCTCCATGGGATTTCTCTGATGTTGCTCAACCCTGTACCCTATTCCAAACCTACTCCTCGTAACCAATTAAGTTCTCCTCTGTACCTACCATGGTAGACTTATTGGGAGTAGGTCTAGATTATGCCTTGGGGTCCCCTTGGTTCGGCTGACTAAGACTGACCCATCCAGCCTACTAGCCACGAACAGTTCTGTGCCTGCTACTGCTACCTGGTTTTTCCCAGCAAATAATTGTTTGAACAGAGAATAAAGTATCCAGCATTGTTAACTTCTCACAGAAAAAAAAATGTCACTCTGCTGAAACTATTTGCTCCATCTGCTTCTAAATGTAATTCTGTATCATGCCATCCGTGACAATTCCCTGAAGCTCTGGAGGTATAAAAATATTAATACACTTTCCAGTAACAAGACAGGCTGCTGCCAGGTGAATTCTAAGTACCATCTCGTTTCCTTGCAAGTTTTCCCAAGACATACACATCAGTGGATTTTTTTTTTTTCCATGCTGGGATTCATACAAAGAAAGCTTTGGGAACTGGCTCAGTGAATTCTGGCTGGGGAATGAAAACATTCACCTGATGACATTGCTTGGTAATAAAAATCAGAGGTGGATTTTTTTTTCTTATGATGTTCTCTGCCAAGCTGTCTCCTTGGAGACAGCAGGCAGTTCATATTGCTAGGGTAGGAAAAACATCTTGATTCCTCCCTACAAAGACAAGGCCAGATATTCATGGGTTGTATTTTTCTGCTTTTTCTCTGGCGATCAGTCAGTCTCAATAACATGGAAAACATTTTGCCACATCTGAGCTATTCAGTCCAAGAGAGTCAGACAAATACATTTCTTGCTAACACAGGTTTGTGGCCTCCTCTGACCCTTCAACGACAAAGGTACAATGAACAGCAGCATAGCTCTGGCCGAGACAGATACTGCTCACAAGGGGAGGCAGGAAGAGAATCCACATATGGAGTTCCAGGCAGTAGGCACAGTGCCTGCTACACATGCCAGCATCAAGTAGACCTGAATTAACTCAGAGTTTTTGATTCTCTGCTGCCCAGGAGTGGAGCAGGCTGTTTCACTGGGGGAATTTAATAAAATGAGGGCCTGCTGGGTAGATCATTCTTAACTACAAGCCCACTGTGGGGGGGTGTTTTGTTTTGTTTTTTTACATTGTCTGGGAAGGAAGAAACAACAATTTAATGAAGCAGCGCATAGCAAACAAAAGGCACCATAGGTATTTGTGCCATACTGTGCCACAGAGAATTCCTGGTACTTGACTCATAGTCAGATTCAAGTGGGGGGATGTGGCATTTCTCAAATACAAAAGGCCGTTTGCACACACCAATGTACTTGCATCTCACATTTCAACAGGGGGTTTCTTGACTAGCTGTAAAAATTTGACTTTTACAACCTAAGTGGCAATAGTCTGTATCCAAGTAGCTGCACTGTGCTGTATAGGGGAGGCAGTGGGAACAGCAAAGTGTCATTCTTCAGGCTTGAATGAGCTGCAACAGCTGGAGCCCGAGTCATCTGGGCTCACTGCTCCTACAAGGCATCAGGGATGAAGTTCAGGCTGGTTTAGCTCAATGAGAAAGCTTAGCTTGAAGAGTTTCTCCAGCAAATACTGCAGTGGTCAGCCAGGCCGTGATCCAAAGCCAGGGCATCCTTCCACTGACTACAGTATGTTCAGAGGAGGCCCATTATTAGTACCCCCTAAGCAAGTGCTTAATACTAAGCCTTTCCTTTTCCATTTCATTGTGTTCTCTGGAGTCTACTGTTTAAATGTAGGCACTTTTCAGCTCCTTCTCTTCTACTTCTGTTAGAATCAAACTTGAAAGAACCAGAAGAAAAGCACAAGCAAGCAGTGGGCTGCGAGATGCTCACATGCAGCTGTCACAATTCTGGGTCCATTTCCGACATGCCTTTATGTTTGCATTCCCTCTGCCAACACAGGAAAACTCCCCACAACTTCAGTGACAGCTTTTGCCTCAGGAGAAGGGAAAGGCTTTCTGGTTTGACCGGTGCTGTCTGAATGAAATACTACAGCACTGTCTAATGGGGTGTAATGTTCTGTCTACAGGTAACTGAGAAAGATGGAAAAATAAAAAGGGGCTGAAATATCTTCATGAACATGATCACTGAAAAAGTAACGCATCTGCAGCTCAGCAGCATATGGTATGTGGTTTCTTGCTCAGCTTCCAGCTGTAAGTATGCTTCGTGTGTTTAGTGTTTATCTTCATTTGGATGGATTTTTTCATTGGATGGCACAGTGAACAACTGAACTCTATTGGGCTGTTTATGGAAATGTGTTTACCAGTTTTGCTAAAATACAATTCTTCCTCTTACAATTACCCCTCTCTTTTTTCAATCAAACTAAAACCCCAGTATTTCCGTAATGATAATATGCCCCATATGCCTGCTGGTGCCTTTACCTGTGTGCACCAATAACTACACTAAAAGCAGCAACTCCTTTCTCACTGGCCAGAAAATCATTAATATTTGAAAACTGTAAGAAACCTGCATCAAAATTGCTTCCGCATAGGGGTGAGTGACATTATTCTTTAATTCATGTTGTTTCTAAGTGGTGACATTATCTTAATGACTGTACAATAATAAACTGGCAGGAGTGCAGGTGTTCTGTGCTCTCTGGTAACTGGAGGCCTGCGTAAAAGATAAGCTTTTCTCTCACTAACAGCTAATACCTATTTTCCCTTATCGTCAGTACTTTTGTAGACTGTAGTCTTGTTCAGTCCCTGAGGTCATTCCTCATGCAATTCAGCATGTGACTGATACGCGTGTACATGCAGCTATGGATTTAGTACAGGGCCCATGTGAAGTAACCCAAATACAGTATTGCAACATTTGTGATAGTAGCAGACAAACTACATCTCAACAAGTGACCTTCCTGTATTAGACTCACTGACTTCTGTGGTTTTATTTAAGGATTTGACTGGTTACTTACATGAAAAAAAATAAAATCAAAAGCTGACTTTCCTAATCTATTTATGTCAGTTGTTTCTCCTCTGTAGTTCCCAGGAGCAGAGTTATGAATCTTATGGGAAGATTTTCTGATTTTGCTTCTTTTCCTACATATAACTGATTTTAACTGTGATTTAACCTAGTAAGACCAAATAACCTCTGAAAGGCAGGTTATGAGCACTTAAAAACCTCCCTGAAATTAAAGGACATTGGGTGTGCTCATCCACACTTCTAAACAGCAGCCTACTTTTTGGGGGGAGTGCAAATTTGTTCTTAAATGCCCTAATTCTAGACAGTTTTGTGGAAAAAGTCTTAAGATGTCCTAGAAGAGAAAAACTTCTTGTAAACTCTCTTCTTCCTTTTGTTTGACAAGCTTGTTTAAGTAATGTGAAAATACAGTTAGATAACAGTGGAAGAATTGAGAACAACAAATCTTCCTGCAAGCACAGCCTATAAGGGTCTACCTACAAACCTATTCCTACACGATTAAATTATAAATGACTGACTCCCACTAATTCACATGTATTATCACACATCAACTTGTCCCTATGGATCAGAGATGGCATAGGCACTCTCAATTATTGTTTCCACTGACATAAATCCTCAACAGCCCAGCTGAAGTCAATGAGCTAGTCCAGATTTACACCAAAGTAATTAAAGCCACATTTGATTTTTAATATCTGATTGTTGTAGCAGGTTTTCACATTACCGAGACTTTGTTGTCAATAAAAAAAATGTACATCAGAAAATATAGTGGTAAATTCTCATGACTGAGATTCAGTGAATGGAGCAGGAAGAGCCTGGGATCATAGTACACTGGTCTGGACAGACCATACCCTATCTCATCTCATCTCTCATACATAACTACTTCCCCACATAAGAATAATTTACATGGGAGCTCTAGAGAGAACCATAGATACCCTGGCCATAGGCCAAATGAATGCTGGTTTTGCAGTCTTAATATGGACTGCACCCTGTGCTTCAAGTCTAAATATTCTCAAATCAGGTACTATAACAAAACCTTTGGAGTAGATATAATAAGCATGCCCAGATGCATATTTTTCTAGTTTCAATCCAACTTTCCGGTATTCCCTTTTATGCACTAGTAAGGAGGAGTTGGACAAAATGTAGTACAAGAAAGGTGACCGCTTCCTGTAATAGCTCAGTCAGCTATTCACTCTTAAAGCACACACAGGCTGAAAGATGCCTGCAGCTAACTTGAACTTTTGTTAAAGAAGTGCTGGTGTGGCTGACTGGGCTTCCACCTAATTAGCACAACTGTCTCAGTCGCACTAAAGCTGCTCCTAATGAGAGCAGCAAGCAGCAGGTTTTCCCCTTACAGAGTAGGCTCATTAGCAGATTAAGCAGATATCCCTTGTGTGAAGTATGTTCTCAGTCTAAGGCTGAAAAAATCATTTCCATATGAGGGATAAAGCTTTGTCACAGCCTTGTTAACAGG